TTAAGGGTGCAGAAAGCGTGGTCCTCATCTGGTCCCCAGGCCCATGCCTTGGTTTTGCGAGTCAGCGTGTGGAGGGGGCGGGCGGTCTCAGAGAAGTCTTTAATAAACCAATGGTAAAAGTTGACAAACCCCAAGAAGGACTGTACTTCTTTGACCTTGGTTGGGGTTGGCCAGTCGAGAACTCCGCAGACTTTCACAGGATCCATCGCGATGCTTCCCTCAGAGATGATGAGGCCGAGGTACTCAATCTGTTTCCGCTCAAACTTACACTTCTCCGGTTTTAAGAAGAGTCTCCACTTCCGCAGCGTCTCCAGGACTTCTCGGACGACCCTCCGGTGCTCCTCCAGGGTGGCAGTGAAGATCAAAATGTTGTCCATGTAGCAGATGACAACCTCCCAGTCGATGAAGTCCCAGAGGATGTCGTTCATCATTGTTTGGAAGGTCGCTGGGGAGTTACACAGGCCAAAGAACATGACGGTGGGCTCGAATAGCCCACAGTTGGTCGAAAACGCCGCCTTCCACTTGTCACCATCCTTGATGCAGACATTGTTAAATCCCCAGCACAGATCTAGTGCCGAGAAGTATTTGGTGTTTCGGAGGCGTGCGAGGACGTCCGAAATGAGAGGGAGGGGGTACGAGTTTTTGACCGTGATCTCGTTGAGCTTCCGGTAATCCTGGACTAGGCACAACGTTCCATTCTTCTTCTTGACAAAGAAGACTGGGGCTCCCATCGGGGATTTGGATGCCCATATGTGCCCGTTCTGCAGGTTCTCGTGCAGGAACTTGTCTAGTTCCTTCTGCTCTGGTCGCGACAGGGGGAAGGTTCTCCCTCTCGGGAGCTTGGCATCTGGCACCAGGTCTATTGCGTGGTCCCAGGGCTTCCATGGGGGCAGCTGGTCAAAGGCCTCTTTCGAGAATACGTCCCGGAAGTCCTGGTACTGCTCTGGGACCAGCGCTTTGAATGGCGCAGGCTCTGCTTCCGGTTTGCAGGCTTCCTGGGCCATCCGCTGAGACGGAGTTGTGGTCGCTCTCAGTTCGTGTCCCCACCCTGGAGGGATGATAGTGGCATAAATCCCGTCCCCTGGTTCCACTACGGGGTCCTGGTCGGCATGTCCTCACATCGACTGACAGGAGGATGGGCAGCGAGACATACTGACCTTTTGCCGTGTCCAGTCTACCTCTGGGTTGTGGTGCAGCAACCACGAATGGCCTATGATGAGGGACTGCCGCCCCAGGTTTGCGATGGCAAAGCAGGCCCGCTCCATGTGCCATCCGAATGTCAGAAGGGCCTCTAGCTCCTCAGTTATGGCCCCATTCTCGTTTGGGGTCCCATCAACGTTGCGGACAGGGATGGGTTGGGGGAGCAGGGTTGTCTTGAGCCCGTGCTTTCTGACGAACTTGGGGCTCACGAAGTTCCCGGTGGCTCCTGAGTCTAAGAGGGCTGATACAGAGACAGTAGTGAGGGAGGTCAAGGTGGTTAGCTTTACGGCTAGGTTGAGGGATCTGGGGGGTTGCTTTGACAGCACATAGATGGCGGGTGGCGGGACTGCTACCTCCAGCACCGTGCTTGGTATCACTTTGTTCGAGGATGCGGTTTTCCTCTTTTTCTTGGCGATGACTTGGTGGAATTTAGACGTTGGCACCGACTTAGGTGCCTCATGGTATCTACACGAGTTGGTACTATCGCCTGCAGGCAGCTGGGACGCGTCCCTCACCGGTCACCTTCCTGGAAATCCTCTTGGGCATCTGCTTCCTGCCCTTCTCCCTCTGCCTCTGGTCTGTCTACCAGCTGTCTCCTCAGCCCCTCCATGAGCGCTCTGAGATCTTGGGGGTGCATCCGTCTGGCTCGGCGGGTTTTTGGTTGTGGGCAATCCCACGCAATGTGCCCTGGTGTGTTGCAATTGTAACACAGCCCGTTTCGCCTCTGGTCGATCCTCGAGCGGTCAAGGTCCATGGGTTGTGGCCCTGCTCCTGCTGCGGGGTGCGGTGTGGGGGGCTGGGGTGTGGCGGCAGTGGGTAAGGGGCATGGCTGCGGGAGAGTGGCAGGGAGTGGGGGTCTCGGGGGCAAGAGTGGGGGCCTGGTGGGGGCTAAGCAGGGTTGTGTTGCCTGGAAACGCTGCCACTGGTTGTCAAGGAGGCTGGCCTCGCGTTTCCACTCGGCCCAGGTGGTTGGCATGGGGCGGAGGCAGTAAATGCTTTTGCAGAGCTGGGAGTTGATTGCCTGTTCAAAGCGATCCACTAGCCCCACATCCCCTAGCTGCAAGGTGGGTCCAAGGATCTCAAACTCCTGGATGATCTTATCCACGGAGTCACTGCCCTGCTGCAGAGTGGCCAGCTTCTGTCTGGCTGTGGCCTTGCGGTTCGGGTCTTGGGACATGGTGTCGAGTTCCATGTTGAACTCATCCATGGTGAGTCGGGGGAGCCCGTCGTCAGTAGTGCGATGGTGCACTGCATCGCCCACACCCCTGCAGTCCCTCCCTTCATATAGGACAGGACAAAGAGGATCTGGGAGAGGGGGTTGGGGAATTCCGCTGCTCGGACATGGAAGTATATGCCGCATTCGGCCTTGAAGCGGTCAAGGTCTTTGGCTGCTCCAGAGAAGGCAGTGGGGGGGGGGGGCGACTTTAGGCGGTTTGGGTCTAGGGGCGGGTGCAGGTGTTGGTGCGGGGACCAGTGCCGGTGCAGGCATGGCTGGGGGTTGGTTCTGAGCTTGGCTCTCTACGATGGCCTGGAGCTTGTGGAATCGGGACAGCAGTTCATCGTACTGCTCTTCAGTTACCATAGCAGGGGAGGCGGGGGAGATGAGGTTGAAGCCTTCTTCTGCTGTCAGGGACAGCTCCCAAAGCGGCAAGGTCCCTGTGCGTGGGACTTGGTGGGACGGATAGCAGCTGTGCGTAGTGGCAATCCCATCATGGGGTGAGCGTCCCTGACCACTTAGGCTGAAGTGGGAAGTTGAGAAGAAGGCTGCTTCTTCTGTTCCCACCCCAGGCACTATTATATACATGTGGCTAGGGTCATGTGGAGGAAGCCACATCATCTCCGCACACAGCTGCACCTCCCTGGGTGTCTCTGCAGGAGATCCCGGAGGTGGCCGCTCAGTAGGCAGGAGTGTGCACGGTGCATGTGGCGATCAGGGGGGTGGGGTTAGGTATGTAGTAGCACATGGAGAAAGGGAAATCGACCATAGAATAGAAATAGAAATAGAGATAGAGAGAAGGGGGAAAATGGGGGAGGAGAGACAGGGAGTGATAACGGGGTAGTGCGGTACAGCACATGTGGTGCGGGGTCAGGTGGGTGTGCCCTGACAAGAGAAAGATGGACCAGAGAAGTGTTGTTTGGAAGGAGATCCACCCTCTGCACAGTTACTGACAAGGGGAACTGGATCTCTAAGCACTATAATCTCCTCCACACATGCAGAGTATGTCGCTCTCTTCTCAGTGCCTATCAAGTGACATGCAAGTGTGAATGAAATTTGGACAGAGGCCCCTGTAGAGCCATTCCATACTCTGTGGGCAGAATAACACCTGGGATTCCTTCACACTATGCACGCAAGGGGTTTGTTTGCCATCTTTCTTCCTTGAACAGGTCATTTCGAATGGGAATGTTCTCTGGTGACACTGGCCAGTGTTGCAAGCCGAATTCAGGTCCCAAAAAGTCATCACCTAAGGTTGAAAATCGTCAGCCAATACCACGAAATGTAGATAAAGGATTAAGGGGACAAACCTGGTTCATCATTGCTACTATCCAGATCTGGCAATGCTGTGTGGCACTTAATGAGTCCTCAGTCTTCCCAAAGAAGTTTCTCACCTTTGGCCTTGTTTTCTGGCATGCTGGGTTCTGTTGGTGATGTGCTAAGCTCTGTTGGCAACGTGCTGGTCTCTGCTGTTAACACACTTGGCCCAGCCCTAGGGGAGTCCACTGGGGATTCTGTTGTTTCGTTGCAAGGGTCCTGAGATCTCTCTACTATTATTCTTGAGTCATGGTGTATGGGAGGCAGCATCACATAGTGCTTACTTTCATTAGCCAATCTAAGTGCGATGGGGTGATCCCCAGGTGTTACAGGAATGGGTTCTGGGGAACCCAACCTGAACCGTTCGGCTCACTAATGGAGGTGGCTGCATAGCCAGAGGAGGGAGAGCGGAATGGGATGAGTATTTGGAAGTACAACCTGTGGGTTGGCCAATGGTAACTTGGCACTCCTGGGAGCGTACCGGTAGCGAGTATGATGTGGGCTCCTTGAGGGAGCCACCTGGCTGTCTGCTAATGGGGACTTGGCGCTCCTGGGAGCGTACCGGTAGCGGGTGTGCTGGGAGTGGTTGGCTAGCGGTGACTTGGCACTCAATGGAGCGTACCGGTAGCATGGGATACTGGGACTCCCAAAGGGAGTCACCCAGTGGGTGGCTATCGGTGACTTGGCACTCATGGGAGCGTACCGGTAGTGGGAGTTGTTGGGGAAAGTGGGCTGGTGGACCAGTGCACGGTAGTGGGTGACCGTGGGAAGTGGGGCCCATGGGTGTGTGGCCAGGCATCCTGGAGCTGCCTGGACCATATCCCTCTCCTAAGGAGGTGGGATAGGCTACAGTTCCTGATAGGGAACTTCTGGTTGGAGGGGAGTGACTGCTCAACCACCCGGTGGACTGGTGGGAGCGGGCAGCAGGAGGTTGGGCGTGGGAATGCCCTCCTCATTGTGGTTTTGTCATGGAGAGGATGAATAGGGAGGTGGACATGGTTCTGAGGTTACAGGTTGAGTTTACAGTGGTGGCACAATGGTGAGGATGTTACAATTGCGGTACAAGGTTTGTGGGTTATGTATTCGATAATGAGAAAACATCTCGGCATTTGCCATACATGTCATATGATTTGTGTCTATCTAATACAAAGGTTGTAATGGCCAAGGGAAGTCCCTTGGAAATCAACAAATCCCCCAGCCAGCACCAAAACCCAGTGGGAAAGCTTGGCATGGGGTTTGGCAAAGAACAAAGTGAAGGGAAGGAATTGTCTTACCTGTGTGCATGGTCCATAGGAATCTCCATTTCCATAACACCAGGAGTAAACTGGTATTGGATTTTCGATGTTGCTGTCATGAAGTCAATTGACAAGTCACAGCCGGGAATTTCCACATACCCTCATCCGCTGATTTCTGAGGTGTTGTTGGCAATGGAATTGTATCCCAACAAGACTGTAGCATAGTTTGTCAGTAGAGTGCAACAAGCTGACCAAATTCAAAACTTACTTCGAACATTCTGTGAATAATCTTAATCTGAGGGCCAGTTAAACTCTGATCGCTGATAAGGGAGTATTCCAGTGTGTGGGGAGCAGTCATTAAGCCCTCGAAGCCTTTGAGGTTTTTGACGTAATTTGGGAAATCACTGTAACCAAGTAAGTCCTTGTCCTGGACTCTCTCAAGGTGAGCCCAGGCATTCGTCCTTGCCATAGCTTCTTGAAGCGATATGTTGTTGAAATAATTCAGCACAGTAGAGGTGCGAAAACCCCCATCAGGAAGTAGTTTGAATGGGAATCGGGATATTGTGAAAATTCCATGGAGAACCACAGGTGGGGGTTTCAGCACATCTTTCTTAGTACCTTGAAGGCAGAGGACATAGCAACGTCAGGCCTTTGCAAAAACCCAGACAACCTTAGATGCAATATTGACATCACCAAGATATAGACCAGTGAGGTGCTGCCGCAGCTTGTCATTGCTCGGAAGAGATGACATCAATCGGGGGAAGCAAAAGTGGTTGTCAGGAAAGGTATAGAGGGGGTAGGCTGGGTAAGTAAAGGCAGGTTAAGTTAGTTGACATTATAAACGCTCTTGTGTGCATGCTTACATAACAATATGTGCACATATCTGAAAAGCACCTGTCAGCGGAAATATTGTGAATATATGCTTATTGGGAAGTGATAATAAATGAAGGTTGAGGTGAATCAGCTGAGACAGGTGGTGAGCAAGCGAAGCCGACCTTGGATGAATATTTGACAGGAGGTGAGTGAGCGAAGCAAAGATGTAGCTGCCTTGGAATCACCAAGTCATTGGCGTTGACATTGGAGAAATACCTGCACCTTCCATCTCGCTAGCATCAATGACAGTTTCCATCAGAAACCAATAGTCAGAATATGCCCATCAATACAATGTGAAATGAATGTACTATTAAGTAATCAGCCAATCCATAAAGCTATCGAAGCTTGGAAGGGGGCTAGCTTTGAAAAGTGTCCGAGAGAACCAGTTGAGTTACGATTGGTGTGCAAGTCTAGAAAGTTCCACAGACATCATTCTTTCTGGTTCCATTTCCGGCACTCCAATATGGGAAGCATTTCCCTGTCAATAAATCGATTAGTAAAGACAACGGACCTGGCATCCATACTCACTGTCAACATGCGGTGCTGGTAGCCAGAGCCAATGAATGTCTTGTGGATCCAGAGTGCGAATGAGGCGTGCTCATACTTAGTTACCATCATCAGTGTATTGGCACCAAGCGCCAAAGACAGACAAGCTGTAGGATGTTGGAGGATGACTGGCTTTCACCATTGATGATGGCCGAAGTCCTTGCAATTTGCAAAGAACATTCCCACCCAGTTTCAAATGTTGCTTGCAGAAACTGGGAAAAGTTAGTATGTTTGATCCAATCCCTTCCTCCTGATGCACGACTTGTTTTTGAGCAATATCATGAATGCAAGAAGAGCGCACCTGTCAGGGCACGGCCTAACCAGCCACCCTGACTCCCTATGCCAGAAGGGAGTTGCTGTAAGACGATCTGGAGTGATCTGAAGAATGCAGGTAATCTCGCTTAGCTCTCGCTTAGCTCCCGCTTCCTTTCTTCTGTCCACATGTCACCCCCTTCCCACGCCTTGCTTACGATTATCCGAATGAATACTTATCTTTTCATGTCATCATTCTATCGGCTATCTCTTATCTCATTGTAGCCATGCTCTAGTGGGTAGCGGTACCTGTGTATATAACTTCTATCGTTGCTGAGGGTGGCGCCTCAGCGTTAACAACGACTAGGATTCTCAGGAACACCCTCTTTGTCGTGAACTGACACGCAGTCCCTGACAGCACCTCCCCGAATTAAGAGAAGATATGGCTCACCAGAACCATCACCAACCCCGAAGAACTCCATGTCATACAACATTGAAGAGGATACACTCATGGAAGGGGAAGATGACCGCCCACCGACTCTTGTTGGGGAGAGTCACAATGCTGCTTCTAGTCAGTTCTTGTATGTGCCATCAGAGAAAGAACTCCACGATTGCCAGGCTGCGTTCTTAGAAGCAATCACCCCTGTGGCAGTCCGAGAGGTTGTTTGTGCTGTCTGTGCACGGCTACGATGGGAACATGAATGTACAGAAGTTGATGTCGACAAAATACCCAATTCAGCACATCTGCGGGTTGCAAATCAGGATCAACACCCAGCTCAAGTCCTTATTGCTGGCCTGCTGCTGGAGCAGAGTGGCATAACTGAGTTTGCAGGGAGACAGCAAGCAAAGTTGTGTCGGGGATGTCTTCATGATCTACAGCGAAATCAGATCCCTCGGTTTTCCTTATCAAACAAAATGTGGATAGGAAACATACCCAACATACTCTCTCGTCTCACAATGCCAGAGCAGCTCCTAATATCCCCCATTTATCCACGCTGCTTCATCTTCAAAATGTACCCAAAGGGTGGACGCCGAGACGATGTCACTCGCTTACAATCAGGCTTGCATGGCAACGTAACAAGCTTTCCTATGAATACAGCAGATATCCTCAGTATGCTGGAAGGGAAAAAATTGCCCCGTCCCATGTGCATACTTGCTTCTATCATATCCATAACATATGTGGGTGTTGGCAACTTGCCAGAGCATTGGCTCAAGACCACATTTCACATTCGACAAAGGGTAGTATTAGAGGCCCTTCAATGGTTGATGGAGCACAACAAGTGCTTCTCGGAGTATGAGATAGATGAGGACATTATGAAGTCGCTGCCGGAAGATGATGTGCCTCTGGAGATAATGGCTGCTGTTCACCAGGAGACAGATTCTAATGTCCTGCTGAAGGAGCAGGATTCTTATGTGCCTGGTGATGGTGAGTTGTCATATCTATCAAACTGCTCTGAGTACTCACCCCTCTGCACCAACCAGCTACCAATGAGAATGGCTATAGCGAGGAAGGAGTAAATGCCCGGAATGCTGGTATGATTTTTAGTCCAAGTTGATTTCTCGGTGATAATTTTTACTCATCTCTGAATTAGACAAAGGCGATGTCATTCCCCTGCAGTACCTAGGCAGTACTCAGACTAAACTTACTGCAGCACCCACATCTGACCTCTTAGTGGGGGGATTAGCCAACCTATCCAAGGATGCTGACCAAGAACCCCCATATGCCGTTCAGCATGGATGGAAGTTGGTCAAGGACTTTGGAAAGCAGAGACCAAATGAAGAGCTTTCAGATCCTCATTATTACGTACCTCAGTTCAATTATTGGGCATTGGCATTTCCGATTTTCTGCCTCAAACATCACTCACGACGATTCTGCACTCACCAATCCTTTCTGTTTGTTGCATTCGGCATCGAGCAAAGATGCCAGGCATTAGCTTCTGCCAAAATTCAGATGAAGAGAAAGGATTTTGAGTTTGATACATCCATGCTGTCTCAAGTAACCATCCATGACTTGAAAGCAGCAAGTCATGAAGAGGCGCGTGGTATTCCGGTATCAAACCCCAGAGTGCAGCGTTTAATGAAACATATTCGAGTGACAGCGAGCCATGTAATGGGAATGGACTCATTCCACACAGCCATCCATAGCCAAGTCTGGAGCACAACATTGAAGTACGGACCTCCCTGTTAGAAACCACCTCCGCCTAATGCGGGCATTTAGTGTAATGGTAACACACTCTTGGTACCTATGCAGGGTTCTGCGGTTCGACTCCCAGAATGTCCATATTTTAGCATTAAGGTTCCCAAGACCACATGTACAAATTCCAACACTCCCAGCATCTGGCTCACTGTGAACCCAAGTGACATTCACAACCCAGTGGCACAAGTCTTCGTTGGGAAAGAGATCGATTTGCTAGCCCTAGATAAAGTCCTCAGCAATGCCATTGATCGTGAACGTGCAATTGCAAGCAATCCTTATGCTGCAGCGAAATTCTTCCAGTTCATCATTCAAACAATGCTGAGCACACTGCTCGGGATTCAAGTACGAGGTCACCACATTAGCCGCAAATGCGGCATATTCGGCTATGTCCAAGCATATATTGGCATTGTCGAGGCACAGAACCGTGGAACTTTGCATCTTCATATGATTATATGGCTCCAAAATGCACCTAGTGCAGACGAGCTTAAGGAGAGCTTCCGATCAGATGCTTTTCGGAATAGGGTGAAGGCCTACATAGATGCAAACATCCGGGCTCACCTGCCTGGCATGGACGAAGTGGGACTGAGGGCAATGGAATGCGAAAACGATGTCGGATTTTGTTGACCGCCTCACCCTGATGGCCCTGATTTCCATAATCAGGCAAAGGCACTGGAGAGGCGTTTGATGTGTTCCTGCCAGATCCACACCTGCAAAGCTAACTTATGTCTTCGGCAAGATTGGAACACTCGCGAGCTCAAATGCAAGCGAGGTGCACCCTTCCCCTTGTCTGACAATGCTGTTGTAGATGAGAATGGCAACTGGAAACCACAGCGCTCATATGGTTACGTGAACAACTACAATCCTCACCTTCTTGTCTTCCTTCGATGCAACCATGACATTAAGCTACTCACCAATGGGGAGGATACCAAGAATGTGTCTTGGTATATCACTAAATATGCGACTAAAGCTCAAGCAAAGTTAGCTAATGCATCTGCTCTGCTGGCTCAGAGACTTGCATACCACTTTGCAGAGGATGAGCATACTGTCACCATCCGTGACCGTAACCATAAACTCACCTTTCGTTGCATAAATATGCTCAACTGGGATATGGAGCAATCAGGACCACAAGTGATAGCGTACCTTATGGGTTGGGGAGATACATTTAAATCTCATCACTACATTCCACTATATTGGACATCATTTTCTCGGCTATTACTGCATCAATGGCCAGCACTACAGAAGATTTCACAGTAAGCAGAAATGGTAAACATTATTTGACTGTTCAGCATTGACTGACCTCCACATATTAGAAATCGAACGTGCAAGCAGGCTGAGGAAACGCTGGAGGCTACATTACAGTTAAACAACGACAGCGGCAGCAGTCACACAATTATTGATGCTGATGTGGATGAAGATGGCTCTGGGCATACCAGTCTGGATGTGCCCTTGGTTTCGGAAGTCATAGAGAGTGACAGCGATAACCTCACACTGGGACTTACCTCAGATGGGACCTTGGTCACAAGGTCACCGGTAGATGACTACGTTCTGAGAGGTGACGACTTGGAAGAGATGTCGCTTATTGAGTTTATCTCAGACACTTATGAGGGAGTTGCAAACAATGGGAAAGAAGTTGCAGACCAAGATCATAATGAAGCATTGGGTGATTTCCCTAAACATGCTGGAAGGCCCGCAAACTTGTGGAGTCAATACCATCCCAAACATCCCAAGCATGCCTCTCGCTTCCATGTTATCCGCACCAAGGATCACCACACCATCGCTAACATCGTCAGAAAGTGGCTTCCTCGTTCAGATGATCCCGAAGATGGGGACCTACACAAGGCTTCAATTCTTTGCCTTCTCAAACCATGGTGGGAGATCAGGTCACTGAAGACACCTCAACAAACATGGAAAGATGCATATGACTCATTCCTACAGACAGGGGCCCGCAATAAAGTCGCCATCATTGCAAATGCTCAGTTCTATTACGATTGCAAGGACGCCACAGAACAAAGGCACACACCAAATGTGGCACTGAATGGTTTGATTGACGCGGATGATGAAATAGATGATGGCAACAAGGTGGATGAGGCTGACCAGGGCATCCGCACTGTTCTAAGTGAAGCCAATCTCGACGCGTTCATTAACAGCCAAGAACCTACACGAGAGCTTATTCATGGCTTACAGGCAATTGAATGTGCCAAGGCTGCTCGTGTTTTCAGGCCACAGTGTCAACTATGGGAAATCGATGCTGGCAATTCCGGAATAGGTGCCTACGATGACCAACAACAGTCTATATGGAGATCAGCAATAAAGAATGAACGACGAGGGGACACACCACTTGACTCATCCCCAGGAAGCTTGCTGGGCACAGTCAATATCATTCCTGTCATCGACAAGGCAATGAATTCTCAGGGGAGTATCCAAACCGTGTGCAGCAGCACATTGGCTGCAGCCACACAAGTGGAAGCAGTGCCAAACCTCCAGGCAGATCAAAGATGAGCATTTGATATCATATCTGCTCACATGGTAAATACGATGAAAGGACTTCATCAGCAGCAACTTTTGATGTTACTCTTGGGCAAGGGGGGCACTGGGAAGTCTGTTGTCATTAGAGCAGTCACTGCTCTGTTTGAGGCAAACAACTTGGGGAACTTACTGGCGAAAGCAGCATACACAGGAGTTGCAGCATGTCACATCGGAGGCAGGACGCTGCACAGCCTAGCTGGTATTCCGTTAGGCAAGAAAATGCCAACATCACAGCAAATTGGGGACCTAGCCAAAGAATGGCGAACCCGCCAATATCTCATCATTGATGAGTGCTCAATGATTTCACGGACATTCTTGGGGAAACTTTCATCAATTCTGTGCCTTATAATGACAGAGGTACACGGCATCAGGCAGGACGAACCTTTTGGAGGCTTGAATGTGATTCTCTGTGGGGATTTCCAGTTTCCCCCGGTCAGCGAGGGTACCACTGCACCACTATATTGGCCACCATCATCCTCGGATTCTCCAGAGGCAGCATTGGGAAGCAGCCTATTCGAAAAGTTTCAAACCATCGTTATTTTGAAAGAACAGATGAGGGTGTCAGACCCAGAGTGGATCCAACTGCTTCAGCATTGCCGCTATGGAACATGTGATCAGCAACACCTGTCGATGCTAAAGAACCTCGTTCTGTCATCCACTGGCAATTCCTTGCCAGATTTTGAGAATTCACTGTGGTGCAATGTCAGGCTTGTGACGCCTCGACATGGGGTACGAGAAGAATGGAATGCCATCGCACTAGAGGAACACTGTTGGAGAACATGCCAGCCACTGTTTTCGTGTGGGGCGGAGGACACTATCAAGAAGCGACCTCTGGACCTTGTCAGGGCACACCCGCCTGACCCCACACTGCATGCGCCGTACCGCACTACCCCGTTATCACTCCCCATCTCTCCTCCCCCATTTTCCCCCTTCTCTCTATCTCTATTTCTATTTCTATTCTACGGTCGATTTCCCTTTCTCCATGTACTACTACTGTCACAACTGACAAATCCTGGGGCTCCGTCAGCCGCGAATCAATGCCGACAGGCGATTCCACCGACCCAAACCCATCCTTACCAGCCCCAACCCGATGTCTGTTCTATTGACCATGCACCGCTTCTGCACCTTCCACAACCTCTGTCCATTTCTGGTTGTCCTTGACACCTCTGGTCAGGTCAACACTCCCCTCCATATCTTGCTGGCCATCATGCTGTCCTTTTGTGACAGCACTGACAGACCACCCTCTGTTGCGGACTCATCAGCACCATGCTGATTCCCACATCCCTTTGCGGACTTGTGTCAGCATTGCACCGACCCTGCATCCTGATTTGCGGACTTGTATCGGTGCCGTGCACTGACCTCCGCTTTTCCTCTGGCCATTTGTCACTTGGCAGCTTATCATTCATTCCTTGCCGAGTGCCATTTATTGTTTGCTTCCCTGCCAATATCGGCATTTGATCCCCTCTTTATTGGCACTAGGTTATTGATCTCATTCAGTTATTCATCAATAACCCTTGCCACTTATTGTTTATTGATCTGTTCCTCATTTCCAGTTCCCGGGCTCTTGTCCTTATTTAGTTTGACAATCCCCGCTTATCTCCGCACCGGACCATGCCGGACTGACCAGCCTTTCTATATTCCCTCTTGCCTATTTATATACCTTGTAAATACTTTTGGGGACCTCAGTCTGAAATCAACTAGAGTACCCCCCTGTCTGGTCTGAGTCTCTCCTTCTGCAAAGGGGGCTTCTGTCAGGGGACATAGCGTAAGCGGTTCTCTGTTACCCTATCGATATCGCGTAAGACTATATCACCGCATGTAGCCGCATCAGCCCTCATATATCGTAAATCCCTCACCTTCTCCTGATCCGACTCTGCCCCCTGATCCGAGTGTTCCTTCATCTCTATTCACTTCGTTTTCTATCAGATCATTGTTTAGTTCCTTTGATCCTATCTCTTCCGATTGATTGATGTCACTCGTGTATATAGCTCTATGTGCCGCTGAGGGTTGGAACCTCAGCTTTGTCTATGACTAGGTTTTCAGGCGATATTCGACTCGGACTGACGAGCGATCCCTGACAGCTTCCCCCCCTCTGAGTCTGTGCTCGCGGAGTCCGTTCTCCTCCTACAGGTCCACTCCGCCTGCAAGTCTTGTTTGAAGTCCACTGTAAGTGTCAGTTTGTAAATATGGGATCTCCCCCAAACATCAAGCTCAGGGCACAGCGCTCCACCTGAGTTGCTGAGGCCACGATCCCACTCTGCTAACCTTGAACAGCACTTCCGGATGCGCCGCATATTTCCGCCCGCATATCCGTGTGCGCACTCCAACAGACCTCTGCATCACCTCCGACCTCAACTCAGACAGAACCCAATCCATCTTCCATCCATCTTCTGACAGTCTGCCAGACTCTAACAATATCCCCAGTCTCTGACAGTACTTCTGACTCTGACAGCATTCCAGATCTCTGACAACTACATACCTAACCCTGCCCCCCTGATCGCTGCACGCACCACGCACACTCCCGCCTACTGAGCGGCCACCTCCGGGATCTCCCATGGAGACACCCAGGGAGGTGCGGCTGTGTGTGGAGATGATGTGGCTTCCTCCATGTGACCCTAGCCGCATGTATATAATAGTGCCTGGGGTGGGAACAGAAGAAGCAGCCTTCTTCTCAACTTCCCACTTCAGCCTAAGTGGTCAGGGACGCTCACCCCACGATGGGATCACCGCTACGCACAGCCGCTATCTGTCCCACTGTCAGGGGACGCCCGGTTATCTGGCCCCCCTTTACTCTAAGCGATATCAATGAGGTAATTGTTAGCCAAGATTGCGTGAGATAATTACGTAGTTAGAACACAGATATAACTCATTGCGCTATATTTGCTATC